GTAGATTTATAAGTAGGCTAACATGGATGAATATTAGAGTCGGTAAATTCACGTCATAAGTCGGCATATGAATTTACGCTCTTTTTGTCCGTATAGCTATAGGCTATAAAAAGTTTAAAAAAGTTACGGGCTATAAAAACATAAAAAATGCAGTTCATACGAAAATGAACACACCTTTTCTATTAGCCTATAAATGCATGTTTTACATTTTTTAAATTAGTTCTAAAATAAAAAAAAAATAGTCTCAATCATTTTTTTTTTGTTGATGATAGGCTATATTTCTTAAAAACCGGTGAAACGATTTAAAATGTTAATATTTGACAAACTAAATTAAGATTAGTTTTTCAAATATTCATTTGAATTAAATAAAAATGAAATAGAGTACATGAAAAATGTAATACAACGCCTATTAAAAATAATTGCATCTATTTTTTAAATGCAAAACCAGCAACAAATTATATAGGCTCGGTGAAACGATTTAAAATGTTAATATTTGACAAACTAAATTAAGATTAGTTTTTCAAATATTCATTTGAATTAAATAAAAATGAAATAGAGTACATGAAAAATTTAATACAACGCCTATTAAAAATAATTGCATCTATTTTTTAAATGCAAAACCAGCAACAACTTATATAGGCTATACGACAAGCTGTTCCAAAAATAGCCTGCTCTAATGAAATAATCCTAGACACGTGCGTAGTACTGAGACATTTAAAGGCCATAAATAACTCGAGATATCAGCCCAAACATGTTAAAAAAAATCCAAGAGTGTTCTGACGGGTCTATGTTTATCATTCACGAGGGAAGTCTGAAAATCGAGAGCCAAAACTTTAAACCTGAGCTAATTCAATTACATTTAGCCCTGGGTTTTAAACGAATCTAATCAATGCACTTTTCTCTGAAAGTGAACCTTTGCGACAGATATTTGCACATGAATTGACCCCAAAGTCTGCTCATTGCGAAATGAAAATACATAAATATTTGCGTGCATAAATCCACACTCGATTGTACACTGCAACAGTCAACAACATGGGTTTTGATCCCGTAATTGAAAAGGGGAAAATATTAGTAGCTATGAGAACATGGAAATATTTAATAAATAGAACACAATCAATACCATAATCAGAAAATTTAAATAAAGTAGAAAATGAATTTCTCGTTTAGGCCTATATAAATAATTATACCCGTTAAAGCTTAACTATAAATATGACCTCAAAAACATTACAATAATAAAAATAATTAGTCAATGTTTTATTATCAATGGCAGACAGCTGCGGTAATATTAGCAGTAGAAATACTCATCTCAATATTGTTACAACTACAAGCAACCAAACCGTTGCAGCAATCCAATTAAGCTCTGCAAAACTTTATTTTCTTTTGCAAAACTTTATTATTTTGCATATACACTCTTAAAAATAAAGGTGCTTCAAAAGGTTCTTCAAGCGATGCCATAGAAGAACCATTTTTGGTTCCACAAAGAACTATTCAGTCAAAGGTTCTTTAAAGAACCATCTCTTACTTACCTTTTTATAATCTGAAGAACCTTTTTTCTCCCCAAAGAGCCTTCTGTGAAACAGAAAGGTTCTTCAGATGTTAAAGGTTCTTTATGGAACCATTTAGACAAAAATGTTCTTCTATGGCATCGTGAAGCACCTTTATTTTTAAGAGTGTATATGTGGCATTATATTGACTCCATAGTATTTCCTTTATTAAGTCAAAGATTTGGTTGCGGTGGACAGAACGATTAGCCTTTTTTTTTTAAATGCTGGATATGTTTAGGATGTGTAGTTTAGACAGGTTTGTTATCTTGCCCAGGCTTCTCCTCTGCTTTTCATATTCTAAACTAATGCAGGCGTGCTTTACCATAGGACTACGCCATCACCGTCTTTTGAGTTATTTAGTTATTATGCATGAAGACGGTAGGCTACTTACAGACATTAAAGCAACTAGAACCATCTCTTACTTACCTTTTTATAATCTGAAGAACCTTTTTTCTCCCCAAAGAGCCTTCTGTGAAACAGAAAGGTTCTTCAGATGTTAAAGGTTCTTTATGGAACCATTTAGACAAAAATGTTCTTCTATGGCATCGTGAAGCACCTTTATTTTTAAGAGTGTATATGTGGCATTATATTGACTCCATAGTATTTCCTTTATTAAGTCAAAGATTTGGTTGCGGTGGACAGAACGATTAGCCTTTTTTTTTTAAAGTTCTTTCACTGATAGCGGAACAATTGGTGCACGAGAGAATTTCAATGCAGAACCAGAAATTAATGTTCGATTGAATTTGATAAGGAACGCAGCTTTAGCTGACACAGTTTTATGACGCTCTTTATTTCCCCCCACTAACGTTCTCAGCTAAATGTGCTTCTAGTGCCACCAAATAGAAACACTGTTAGATCACTTTAAATTAAGGCGCCAAAATAAACTATTTTAATCAAGACAAAACACAAAAAAATAAATAAATAATAATAAATAAATAAATAAATAATAATAATACAAAAAAATAACAGGCGGAAAATAAATAATAGGCTATTTAGCTAAATAATAACGGACTCAGGTTGCTCTGAGAGTTTTAAATAATTTTATATATTGTTTAATTCTTCAACAAAGAATTATAAGATATCCGACAATTAAGTCATTGTACTACGGCCTTTGTTTAGTTCTTGCTTATGTTTATGTTAGGGAACAAGCAGTATCCTGAGAGATAAGAGGTGTAATAATCACTAGTAACTTCTTGTATTCGTATATTCGATGTTTTAGTCAGTTCAATTATTTCACTGTCAAGTATCTTAATAGTGACATGTGGGTGTAAATGCATTCGGGAATTTGTATGTGTACGTGTGTGTGTATATATATATATGGGTGTTTGGATGCATGTTATATGAAAGTGTGTGTATGGGTATATACATACATCTGCATGTCATATGTAGTCAGCTAATTAGTTAGCTGATCACTTTGTATACAATATTCTCAAACGGTGGCTGTGTAAACCCTGTTGTCTACACTTACAACTGCAGTATTTAATATACAGGCTATTAATGTTCCCTGTTTGTTTAAAGCAAATAAAAAATAAAAAAAAAGATCCGACAAAATACCAACACGAAACACGATAGTTTGCAGTAAGAAAACAAGGGACTGCCTGACAATAAATGACAAATTAGTGACAAGTTTTACTCGGGCCTGAATCTATCTCTAATAGGTTTTAAAGCAGTCTATAGAAAGAACACGATCTTGTGCATATTTAATCAAGATTAATAGTCTTACTCGGCGTTAAAATGATTTCAATGCACTAAACGACATCATTAAATCAATGTCAAACGCGATATCGGAACAGAAGGATCACAAACCTGTCTAAAAAGATAACGTCAGTTAACGTGAGAAAGGATTTGGAACAGAAAAGAAAACCATCAGAGTCTAACATAAAAGCTCGTACAGAGCTCTAGCTTTTTTCTTTGTTGGCGAGATGAAGTCTCGAGTTAAAAAGCATATAGATATTCGGTACAACAGGGAAGAACTGCAGAATATAATGTCATACAGATATTTTTAATATTATTTAAAAAAATGGTCCATCCATGGTGGCAATCAGTAGGCTAATTTCTAATGAAGAGACCAATTTATATGACAGATTTTAATGTGGGCTTTTATACACATGTAAACATTATTTAATTACCATTATAACTAGCTATCTCACAAATTTTTGCTCACTCAGTGTTTTTTTTAATTTTACAGTGGGGTAATTTTGGTGCAGTAGCACGAGATAGCTTGA